GAAAAAAAAAAAAGATAGGGAAAAGCGGCGTCACGGTGTTTCGTGTTACCGACCTGCCGCGGCCGCCTCCAGTCTCACTGCGTTTCGTGCCAGCCAATGGGCGGATGCGCCGCTTAGAGTTCAAAGCCTGATCGGATCCACTAACGACGCGATGTTCGAGAAAGGTCGCGGCCTGTGGTCGGGCGCCTAGGTGGATATATGGAAGAAAGACGAATAAAAGGGGAGGCTTTTTGGTTGGTCTTCTGAGCGTGACACTGTCTAGCGTCGTTGGCACGAGCCGGGGCCCAACGCGACATGTACCTGCATGTTACTGTGCATGTATTTCTATCGTAAAGTATTTTGCTGTGAATAAGTTGTAGTAACTCGTAATCATAAATCTAATTAGTCTTCAATATGAACGTTTGTTTTAAAAAGCTGATAATTGAGAAAAGAGTCAAAGCACAGGCTACTTGGTGGAAGTCAACCATTTCGTCGTTTACCCTGAGACTGGTTTTTTTTTAGAAGAGCAGAAGTAACAGAAAAAACAGACAGGTCTCAAACTCAGCTACAAGTTTATTTCAACAACCTCCTCTTATATAGTTCGTTCTCGTCGTCATCAACCAATCACATACGACTTGTCATCTGCACCGTGACTTTACAGGTTCCACTCTATCACAAAAGAAGCGGACACTCCCCACGTTTCCAAGTGAAAATGTTCTCGCAGAAGATATGCCTTACAAAGATTTCAAGCAACTCTTTTGTGTCCTCAGAATAAACAGGACAACAGCCCACAACAACATCCTACTCAAGACCGGTCACCTCCAAAATTATAGAAAGCAGACAATACCCTCCAATACTCACCACAGACAATACACACCAAAGAAGCCTTTCAGAATGACTAAAAAAAAAATAAAAAACACTTAAAACTGTAAAAATTGCTTGCAGCGGTTCCCTATTTGCATGGAAGGTTGACTAATACAATTTCTCAACGATCTAATCCTAATTGTTTCTATCACCACCCTTTTAACATCGTTGCTTTCCTTAACAACTACATCCGTTCCAGACCAATCCGTTGTGCAGTTTCGACACTCCTCCAGATGCTTAGCCAACTCCGAATTTGCTGCATTATTTTTAACATTCTTTTTGTGTTCTGTTAAACGATCGTTCAAACACCGAGAGGTTTGGCCTACGTACTTAAAACCACACGCCAAAGGAACCTCATACACCACGCCAACGCTACACGGCGCCGACTTTTCCTTAGAGCATGTGCAGAAAAATATGGCGTGGATGTCGTATTCTCGTATTCAGCACGAATTTGAGGTTAGATAGATTGACACCTTTTGAAACGGTTCAGAGGGGCTGTCAGAAGGCGCATAGGGAAAAGTCGGTGCCGTGTAGCGTAGGCGTGGTGTATGAGGTTCCTTTTGCGTGTGGTTTGTCTGTTGTGTGTATTGTGTGGTGTGTATTGTCTGTGGTGTGTATTGGAGGGTATTGTCTGTTTTCTATAATTTTGGAGGTGACCGGTTTTGAGTAGGATGTCGTTGTGGGCTGTTGTCCTGTTTATTGTGAGGATACAAAAGAGTTGCTTGAAGTCTTTGTGAGGCATATCTTCTGCTAGAACCTTTTCACTTGGAAACGTGGTGAGTGTCCGCTTCTTTTGTAATAGAGTGGAACCTGTAAAGTCACGGTGCAGAGGACAAGTCGTATGTGATTGGTTGATGACGACGAGAACGAACTATATAAGAGGAGGTTGTTGAAATAAACTTGTAGCTGAGTTTGAGACCTGTCTGTTTTTTCGGTTACTTCTGCTCTTCTAAAAAAAACCCAGTCTCAGGGTAAACGACGAAATGGCTGATAATTGAGGAGGCTCTGTGTTTTACCCTTGTAGCTTTCAAATAAGCACAGCATTGTTTTCTGCGACGTGTTGTAGTTCATGGAAGATGTCGTTGCCCACTCTAATATACAATAGTTTAGAATTAAAAAGATAATAATATATGTATTTTTTATCAATGTTGGTATAAAATTTCCCATCTTCTGCCTAAGAGAGCTTTGAGCTTAGCATTTTAACATGAGTTCCAGTTGAGCTCCTGGTTAAACCAGACACTCAGGAATTTCTGCACTCTCAGTCGTTCTATAATTACATTTTTGAAATGCACAAGTGTGTTGTAATATTGCTTTAGTTTATTGGGACGAATATTATATACTTTGTTTTCTAGTGTTTAATTACTTTTTTTAGTCATGCGGCTAGGTCAGCAAGATTAGTCGTCAATTCTAGCAATGGTTTAAAAGACGCAAAAAAAACAAAAAACATTCCTATTATTTGTGTACATGATAAGCTCGGAAGATCTCAGAATTGCTGTAATATCATTTATGTAAAGTAGGAATTTCTAATTATAATGCAATTAAATGCAAAGGTGCAAGCGAGCTGGACAAGAATGACGAAAGTAAACCCTGGAGAAGGGGAACAAGAGGGACATAGGACAAACAATTTCTCTTGTCGTTTCAAACCGAGATGTGCTGAACTGATCAAGCCACCAGACTGATCTGCTTACCACCGACAAACAACCATTTGCATCTCTTGAGTAGAACAAATATTGAACGTCTGTTTTTTTTTTGGGTTTTATTTTTAGCGAAGAAGGCGTTTGCTGACGTGGCGATGCTGATTCTACCTGTTCCAGACGCAGAGGTACGACCTGTCACCGATGCATCGAGTGTCGCTGTTGGTGCAGGTTTTTGGCAAAAAATCTCTGGCTGGCAGCCCCTCGGAATCATTTTTTTACAACTTAAGCAACCGGATCAAAAATAGAATACTTTTGCGTGCGAACTTCTGGCAGTGCTTATGTTAATCAAGAACTTTCGTCACTTCCTTAAGGGCTGGGACTTCCCTGTTCTCACCAATCATAAGCCCTTGACATTCGCCTTTCATTGAAACCACAGTGACTACACCGAGCATCAGATCAGGCGCCATTGCTTCATATCGGAGTTTACCGTCGATCTCCCTTATGACAGCGGCAAGAACAACACAGTTGCTAACCCGCTATCCCACGTCGGTACTATTTCATCGCCACAACAGACAGTCGACATGGAGGCTCCAGCAAGTTCAACTGCTCTAGGAGATGATCCCGAACTGCACTCCTTTCGTATCTCTCCTGGATAACTAAAGCTCGCCGACGTTCCCCTACTTCTCTCAACGGTAACAGTGACCTGCGAGATGTCGACTGGAGTGTGTCGAATATTCGTGCCACCAGCGTTTTGTCGTGCCTTGTTCGACCCCCTACATAACAAGAGCCATCCCGGTATCCGAGCAGCCCAGAAACTGCATGATCACCGCTCGTTTCTTCTGGCCCAGTATGAATCTGGATGTCCGTGGCTGGGCTCGAACGTGCCTCAAATCCCAACGCGTTAGGATCGCGCGACATACCATCACCCCCGTCTCACCCTTTCGACCACCAGATACTTAGACACAGAGGAGGCCTAGACAAACAGAGTTGGTCCAGGCCTCCTTGTTAGCATAGCAGAGTTCACAGGCAATCGGGGTTTAAATCTTTTAAATTCTGAAGCTATTACAAAAAAAAAAAAGAAAAAAAAAGAAATTCAGAGATGGAGAAACAAAATTATCGAGCCACAGCAGTAATATTGTTTGTGCTTGGTTGGCACGCTGTGAGGTAACAGGATGCCGTTAAACGGTCACGAAGAGAGGAGTCGCCATGTTTCCTGTATATATCCAAGAAATTGTTTTACGTAAATCCCCTTTTTCCAGGATGGCCATTACTGAAATAATGCGTATTTTTACTCGCGAAAAAAGAAGGCAGGCTCATCATGTCGCCAACGGGCACATGTAACATATAAATTTCAAACAAAATAAATATTGCTCGCGCTGCCAGCCAGCACGAGTAAAAAGTCAATTTCAAACAACGTGAATTTTGAAGTTAATTAATTGTCATATTGTTTCCAGTGCACAATTAAAATTCTTAGCTCCTACCGCGTTGCCTAAATAGACTCTTATTACAAGAAATATACTACACAATCATCTGTACAGGGGCCTCTGGCAAACCACACTTTACATCGCGACGGAAACAGGAGGTTCTTGCACTTCTAAAATTGCCCCTTTCTTTTTTATTTTTCCACAGAGCCATCGAAAGAGTCTGTCACTGACATTTAAGGAACGGAGCTCCGAAGAAGATGAGGCCATAAAATATTAAAAAAAATAAATAAAAACGATTAGACTTAAGGGGAACTCTGAGGTGGGTCTGTGAGCCCTATGTTAAGGACGCGTTAAGTCGGAGTCAGACTGCTCGTGCATCACAGAGAAGGCACGGGGTTGGCTGCAGACATGATGATAGAATTCTTTGCGGACAGGCCCCAGACAGTGTCTGCTGCGTCTTGTATGACGTATGAGCAGCGCGATTCCCGTTTTAGGCTCAGTGTTTTAACACAATTTCATTTTTTTTTCGTAGCTCGAAACATTTTTTTTTTTTTGTTCTTTCTTATTGTCCTCGAACTCCACCGAGCACTTTCCATTGATTGCAGAGATAGGCTCACCGACTGCTCTGGGGATAAGAGAGATATACGGGGTGGGGGTGGGGGGGGGGGGGGGGGGGGTTGTAAGGAAAACAACTTCGCATTTTGAGCCCTTCCGTGCTTAAGGTATCTGACGTGCATCTGCACGTCATATACCTTTGAGTATATTGAGAACCGCTGATTTGAAAACATAAAATGACTTTCTTACTGTAATCACCTCAAAAACTCGGCGTTAAAAAAAAGCGTTTCAAAAATGTCTATAAAAAAAAAACGCACTGCGGCCGAAGAGTTGCCTACAGTTGCGAAGTTTATTTATAGGGTTGTTCCGTCTATAGCGGCGTAGCCAGCGGCATCTTTAATGACTGAAACCTCTTCGATGAAAGCATTTCGTGCTTTTTGGCGAGTTTTATCTGTGAGAGACGGCTAAGATTTTTTTTTTAACAGAAATATAGGTCGATTTTGTTACGCCCTCCCAAAGGAAATTGGATAGCGAGGCTTACTTGACATATCTAAGCGCATGTGTAATAGAGCAGACGTTCAGAGCAGAACACCCAAACCCTATCAGCAGCTGACCAATGTAGATGAGGGTGAGGTTTCTGAAAAAAAAAGAAAAAAAAATCCATAAAACATACTGCCTCCTTTACATTCAAGAGCCAGACTAACATAGGAAATGACGCAGATTTGAGAGAATTGACTGGATATTAAAGGAAATCGTATTGAGTTACAAATGTTTCTAAGTTTACCCATGTCAAGATGACTCCGAGAATAGACCCTTTTAGCTGTTCATTAGGCAGCATTAGTGGTCGCAATTTTTTGGGCAAGAAGCATATATGAGATTGGATTCGAATCCTATTGCCTGTGGCTTACAATTCACTGGTTAGACCTAAACTAGAATATGTTAGTATGACTTGGCACCCTCATACAAAATCTAGTTCTAAAACATTGGAATGACTTCAAAGACGTGTTCTGAGCTTCATGAAAATTTTAAAATACTAAATCGCCTTCCTTGTAGATGGAAACCAACAATATACGAACTCTAGAGCATCGTAGAAGAATAGCTTTTTTAAAATTTTTGGACACTCTTTATGAAAAAAAAAATAACGCTGTCCTTGGAAAACAATGGACCCAGATATTAGGCGCAGCCAGTGGCCACTAGACGGCGCGGACTTTGGCAAAGGGTCTATTACATAGTGTGAGATGAGGTCTGTTTCGTAAGTCAAGCTGCATCTAGACAGCCGACCACATACGTCCGCTAAAGATAACAATGAGTGTGACGTTTTTTTTTTTGTTAATTGCACTTACGGTTGGAATGGCAGAAATGGAGCAGGACCTACAATAAGTAAAGCTATGACAATTAGCCCATTGCCAAACAAAATATAAATCTTTTCCATCTGCAAATGAAGAACAAAATCCCTTATAAAGAAATATGCAGTTGTACGTTTTACGAGATTCTCGCTTTCACAGTACGCCGGATCAGCTCAACCGATAAAAAAAAAGTTTATTACTGTTACAAATCGAAGTTTGTAAATGAGTGACCATGGTGTTTACGCCAGAGGCTGTAACTAGTCCAAATGCCATCAGGACGCACATCGTCGTTCTCTTCCTAGGACCCTGACATACGCCTCAAGCACACCAGCAGAGTAGAATACGTTTCCAGCCGTGTAGTTTCATCGGCTATAGAGGCCTGAGAGTCTAACCTTTATGTTAGCTTTATGTCGATTTTGATAAGCATCGTACCGGCATGTGGTCGTTTATTACTACTTGTCACATACAATACACGCCAAAACTTTAGTTCGACGAACAGAGCAGTGACGTCGACATAACGGCCCCAACTTTTACGAGAGGCTTGATGACGGTGCGATACTGCATATTACACAGCTAATGTACCTAGCAAACACTACAAAAAATAAATACAGAAAACCGTGAGGTTTTGCAGTAAAACAAAGAAAGCCCGATTAGTTTTTTTTATTCAGTCAGACGTACATCAGCAATTTTAATAAGTCTTATAACTCGGTTATTAAGCCACTCGCGAAAGTTAATACCGTGGGTTCAGCGCCAGTGCGTTGTACGTCGAAGTGATTTCAGGATGTATTAAATGTGACAAGGCGTGTAAGAATATACTCTTTATTTTCTGTGTGAACAGCTAGGCAGCAGTCGCACTTACCGAGTACATTTATCATCTACAACGTGAAATTATCGACATAATGAAAGGCCAACCTCACAATGACTAAACCTGTGAAATCTAATTTGCAGATTTCCTTTGTCCGGTGTACTATGTGCTTTATATTTTTGTATAAATAAACATAATTATATACAAAAGCACTTTTCTTATTTAAGACCAGTGAGTGGAGTTAAGAATGGGTGACGGGCTCCCCCAGCAATGTTTGAGATTTCATTTTAAAGATCTTCCCGAGGTTTTGGGTAACGACATTTATTAAAAGTAGTGCTAGCGCACGTTACCCGAGAAGCAGAACGAACGTTCGTTGTCAAGCATCTCCACCTTAACTGTTTATGCTCTTAGGGGTATGGATATTCAAAATATTTTTTTTAGCGACTTCACAAACTTGTTAACGTAGAAGACAGTTACCTTATAAACTGTGAGCATTCCGGCAATGAGTGGCCCAAATGACAGTCCACAGGACTTGACAGTAAACACGGCACCAACTTCGGTATTGGATAAGTTGAACTGAATCGTGAAACAGGTTGGAGAAAATTGGTGCATGAAAAATGAGTGTCTTTCACATGAACAAACTCTTTAGACCATTTTAGATTATTAATATCACATGCGCCAAATTAGTTTTCGTACTTGAACAAGGTAAGGCTGCAGGGTGGTGTCATTGTAGGCGGTGACACACGAGGACATTAGAATATGTCCGATGTTCACGAGGAACATGGGGTCCAAGAGCAATTTGTAACAATTTTTAGGCTGACTCAGGTGAAGATGGGAATGCGTGTCGTTTGACCCGATGTCTCCTGCTAAACAAAACAAAATATACAGATACATTCTGCACTGATGACACTAGCTCTCTCATATTAAAATGTTTTCCTAGAATCCGCGAGTAGGAGCTTAAAGTCTTAACAATACCATCTGACCTGAATTTAACATTCTTATAGCTCTACTAAAAGCTACTTAAGGCAAAAAAAGAAGGAAAACATGAAAGCGACGGCAGCATGATTAAACGAAGAAGTAATCGTTCTGAAGTAAACCGCAAGCCATGCATTTCTGTGCTCACAATGCTTAAACGCTAGGGTCCAAAAAAGATTGTAGTGATCCACATTTGTATTCTACAGGTCCTTAAATGCATACAAGTCAATCGATTGTTTGCAATAAAATTCATATGCAATAGGGCGGTATATTGGTTAATGATCTTGTAGAAACGCATGATGCCTGAATGAATGGGCAGGCTCAATTTATACGTTTTCAAGATTCTCAATATGCTATTGTAAATGAATGTAAACAGTGGAAGAGTGATTATCTTACCTTGATTGAACTCTTCCTTAATTTCGTCAACTCTGCCTCGGGACTCCTCCCTTTTTTCCAATGATTCTGGGTGAGGCACTGTGATGAATGGAATGACTAATACAAGAGCAATGGCGAACGCGAAGAACGGCGTTGGGTATTTCCAGTGCTGTGAAAGCAAGGAATGGTGTCAGAATGTTTGAGGTATAGCCAGACATTTTTACTAAAATGAATACTTATGAAAACGTTTTTATTATTTTATTACTTACATCAATAAAGAATCCCCCGCCGACTTGGCCAAGCAGACCTCCAATACCCGAGACATTCTCTTTTATGCCCTAAGAAGATATTCGCACATCGTCGAAACACGTTAAGCAAATACAATCGCAAAAACGACTCTATTTGCTGATGATTAGATCTACGGTGATATGACTGAAGTTTGTCTTTTCACCAGTGCGAGGAAGAAAGTTATTGAGAATGGAAATTTAAAATAATTAGGACAGCTCGAGCGCGATATGTCTTTACCCATTTACTCAGCGTATTCAGTGCACTCTGTATGAGCAATGTTGACTGTGTTTTCTGACAGCACGTCCGACTGTCGCAAGAACTCTTTTTCAATAAAATCTTGTAGTTAATAAAAAAAAAACCAGACTACCGCCACTGCATACCCTTCATGACTGCCACACATTCAAGTAGAAGCTATAGAGGAACCAGGTCAAATAATTGTAACCCATTGAGGATGGATTTTGAAACCTTGTCAACTGGAGCAATCGCTTCTATAAACGCTTGCCCATTTTCGGGATGGGGTAGTTCTATCAGAACAGGAGGAATTAAATGATGCCGGAATGGCCATGGAACCTTGCGACCAATATATTAGTTGCAAAAATCCCGAAAGGGCAGTCGTGAAGCCCGCAACGAAGCATGTAATTTCCTCTAAGCTTCTCCTTGTTACTGCAGCATTTACTACGTGATACTCAAAAGATCCACTGCTTTCGCTCTTTCATCTGCGTTGATCGTTGGAACTAGCACCACTAAATAATCTGTGCTTTAGACTACTGACTCTTCAATCATAATTATGCGTGCGATAGATGTTTCTAGTTGATGCTAGCTTTCGCTAAAGTACCTGACGAAATATGAAATAACTGCGTTCCGTTATCCTGCTTGCTAACTCAACTTCCAAAAGAGAAAAAAAAAATATCACCGAAGATTATATCTACTGTTCAACGGTCGCCTTTCATAACTATAATCGTTCTAGACAATGCCAGTGCGGCTCTAAGAAGCAAAATGGCGGCCACCACGAGCCGCTGGCAGCCGTAAACAAAAGTCATGTGACGTGAACGGACGAATGACTGCCTTTGTGGCGTCGGGCAATGGGGGAGGGGGCTGTCGATTCTGTGAGCCTACAGCTGTGTGGTGACTTCAGTCGGCGTTATGCAGTCAGTATCCAGAATTTCTTTCGGCGCAAGCAGAGTCTGTAGAGGGCGCTTTTCGTATCACTACAGTCCTTAAAAAAACTAGGTGCAGATGTGGAAACTTCGTCGGTTGACGCCATAGCAGATTTTAACGGTACTTACTACAAGTAATCAAATTAAGTGTAATCAATTACTTTTGGGGTAATTTTGTAATCATTTTAATTCATTTATTAGGAAGTAATAACAGCAGTAATCTGATTAGTTTTGGAAGTACGAAAGCTACTTGTAACCGTTACCTTTTTTCCCTACATCTTCTAACAGCGTGCTTTGCTCATACAAGATTTCGACCACGGAATCCTACTACCAAACTTTCAACAGGGATCTGGTTTACCAAAATTTATAGATTAATAACAAAAGTAGGTAGTAATTAGATGATTCGAAGTCTATAATAGACTGCACGAGAGGACCTGTTTTCAAACCTACAGAAAGCTTTGTCGCTTCGAAAATATGAAATAATAGCAAAAGTAACGGTTGCTTTTTTAAGTAATGCCAATTACTTTTCGTCTCGAGTAATAAAGTCATCTAATTGAATATTTTTCAGATAAAGTAATTGAAACTGTAATAGATTACTTTTTTGAGTAAAGTGTGCAAGTCTGCTCCCTAATAACGTTTATCACCAAAAGCGGCGCTGATGCAAATAGGAGTACAAAAAAAGTAAAAATAAACGAGCAAGTTGCAAACAATCTTGATGAACATTTTTGATAATATTTATAAAGCAGGTGTATCACTTCCTACGTGGTGTTTCAATTATTCGGAAAACAAATATGACCCCTAGTGTGCAAGTATAGTTGGCGTTTTAAAGCGTCCATCATTTTGACCCGTCCTTGTTATCTTGTGAAAGAGCAAACTCATCCAGCAACTTTCTCCCCGGCGGCCTCTCCGAAGCTACGTCTATCCGTTAGGTCCTCAAAGTGATCCAATCTCTTAACTCACAAAGTTAGCAGCGCACCTCGGGTGCTTAAATGTTTTCATAGAGAAATCTTGGCTACTGCGTGACCAAACTATTTATAGACCAGGTAATCTATGAACTATGGTATTACGCGAGGTTTATTATCAACATTGACGGGCTCACCATCCAGAGTCCTCCGTTGCTGTCTGAGGTAAAGACAGTGATGATTGAGACAAGGAAGATTGCCATGGCTGTTCCGCCAAAGGCTGCGTTGAAGATGGCGACTCCTACAAAACTATTCTCTTCGTCGATCCAATACATAGCCCTAGCAAACCAAAATATATTGAAGAAGATAATTGCAGAATACAATCAAATGCATACTTTATGGAGTATCTTCAATGTACGACGAAGCGCGTAAAAAAAATGATTTTATAGACAAGCTCCCTCTGTGCAGGACGTAATTAGCATACCACACGTCGAGGCTGGAATACATGGGTGAAAAGTCAACCAAATATCGTACGGAATTCAGGACACGCGAAAAGTGTGTGCGCTTTGAATAAATGTATTCAGGGCATACGAAAGGCCCGGTGCTTTGCAGAAATGTACAGACGCGTGAATATTGCTTACTAGCGCATTTATGGACCGTGGTAGGCATCAAGTAGAGAGTATAACGTGATCATTTCCGAAATAATTGCTTAGAACTACTAGTCAAGTTATCAACAATTGACCTTGAGTGCCTCATTCAAATTAGAATTTTTTCCCGTCATCAGATTATTACATAGACGTTTGATTTAATTTCATTATTTTTTACTCCCAGGAGCCGAGGGCAGTACAGAGAGGAGTAGGTTAGTTATTGAAAAATACAAGAATATAACGCTAACAAGGAAAGCATACATCAATATACTTAAAGAAGGCAAGGAACACGTAAATACAAAAATTACAAACATCATTAAGGTACACTATTAATAAAAATTGTAATTGCGCTTTTAAAATCAGCGCCGTCAGTTGTTGTAACAGTTGATGTGGAAAGGCGGTTCCAATCAATGGGTGTCTTTGGAATAAACGAAGCCTTGGAAATAGAGGTGCTACAATGGCAGATGACCATTTTTTGTTGGTGATCTATGGATGATGATATGAAAGATGACTCTAAAAATAGCGTTCAACCGAGTGCCGGGTTTAGTGATAAGTCTTGTGAAATAAACATAAATGATATATTTCTTCTGCGAGAAGAGAAGCTAGACAATAAAATATTCTTTAATTGGAGTGACACATGGTTGAGCGGTGATAGTTTGAAAGGATAAAACAAGCAGAAAGATTTTTAATTGATTCAAAAGCAGACGCAAGGGTGATTCCAAGGTCCCAGATAGAGGTTGTATATTCAAGTTTAGTACGGAATAGAATTTTATACATAATTGGCTTTAAATAATCAGGAGTGACTAAAACCTTTCTTATAGGATAACCAATTAAGCGATTAGCATTGTTTGTGGCATATTCAACACGGTGATTCTAGGAAAAGTCATTGAAAATATGAACACCGAGGTATTTATAGGAGGAAACAGAAGGGAGGGAAGAATGTTTAATGTAGTAAGGAGGGCAAACGTTATTTTGACGAGACACTCTAATAGACCTACATTTAGGAATATTAAGTTCCATAAGCCATTCTGTGCACCAGTGGGTTACTTTACTAATATCAGTTTGAAGGGCAGAGATGTTAATCGTTAAAGATGTTTTAAAATAAATAACACAGTCGTCAGCATACAAGCTAATAGAGGAAGATATACGCATAGGTATGTCGTGATTATATATGAGAAATCGCAGTAAACCAAGAGCGGAACGTTGTGAGACACCGGAGTTAACACGAGAGGATGAAGAGCTGGTTCCGTTCACATGTACAAACTGACATTAGTTTGTTAGAAGCGATTTTATCCAACCGACTACATTAATACCAATGTTTAGGTAATGGAGCTTATGTAAAGGAAAAACGTGAGAAACCTTTTCGAACGCTTTTGAGAAGTCAACGAGTATGTAGTCAGTCCTAGAACCTTGGTCGAGTGTGACATGAAGGTCATGAGGAAATGTTAGAAGTCGAGTTTCGCAAAAATAAAACCTTCGGATAACATGCCGGGCTGAATTAAAAAAAAAAAAAAAAAAATATATATATATATATATATATATATATATTTGAGTCCAAACTATTAACAATATTATAAGAAATCACGTGCTCAGGACGTTCGCACAGAAAACTCGTTAAAGAGATGGGACGAAAAGTTGAAGGATTATGTTTATTGCCAGCTTTGTGCAGGGAAGTCACCTTTCCCATTTTCCAGTCTCTTGGTAGCATTGTTGTACACGTTCCTCAAAAAAGGAACGAAGGCTCGTTCCTCGTTCCTCGTTCCTTGCGATTTTCGGAACGCGTTCCCGTTAAAAGTTCCATATGTGGAAAAGGAACTCGTTCCTGTTACAATTAAAAAATATGAAACGTATAGTTTGATTTATGTTACATTTGTATTCTACTGATTACCATATTTTGTTAGATCAAGCAGCGTCTTCTTTTTTTATCTCTCCCATCAAATGGCAACATACGAATTTGAATGCAGTGATGGAAGGACACCAGAAGAAGAAGACAAGCGGAAACAGGGTTTCATTAATTGATATATTTACCTTTACAAATCTCAGCTTTCAACCATAGGTGGGCGGTTCAGACGAGCCAAATGTACTGTTACTTCGCATTGAACGAGCGTTTTACAACAACCTTATACGTTTTAATCTAATAAATACCCTTGTTCGAACATAACAACTGTTGCTTCTCGATGTTGCTGTCTGTAAGACGAGCAAGTGATGAAGAGAGTAGGGCTTTTGGAAGGTCAGTCTTGAAAACTACAAGTCCTTCGTCAAGGTTGGATTCTTTGTTCAGTTTAAAGGTGGAGGACGAGAGGAAAAGAAACAAAAATTAATTTTTGTGTTTATTTTTAGTGACCAATATTCGGGATGCAAGGATGCGTTTGATGTCAGGTAACCTGCACTTTTGTTGTAACTGTAGGTCTTTTTGGGAAAGTTCAGTGATGGCTGTAGTCGGCCTTATATTTCTGGATGTATGATTATTCGTGGAAAGAAAGAAAATAGCATAGTTTCAGGTTTCCCTCACTTTGTGTTTTTTCCTTCGACTACAAGTTTTACTTTTTATACCGCAGGCTCGGGCATTGAAAAAATATACAAATGTCTACTAGCTGTCCTTCACCCGACTGTTACCAAGTGAGGACAACACAAAATAAACCATAGGATAAGTAACCAAAAAGGTAGCGAGATCCTGCACTTTGTAATGATATTGTTTTTATATTTTAGAATTTCTCTCTTAGAAATAAAATACAAATTACCCCACTGGACAAAAAAAAAAGGAACGCCGTTCCTTTTTCCGTTCCAGTAAAAATGTAACGCGTTCCCGTTCCAGTTCCGCCGATGCAAAATAGAACGGCGGCGTTCCTTCGTTCCTCCTAAAAGGAACACGTTCCAGGGACGCCGTTCCGTACAACACTGCATGGTAATACCTTTTGTTTGAGTGATTGGGTGAATATTTTAGATAATATAATGCTGAAATACACTTTTGTATATTAAAAAAATAAACTTGACACTAATTTTACCTATCCCTGCTGCAATTGATTTTTTTAATGCTTTCAATAATTTAGACTATACCTTCACAGTCTATAATAACAAAATGCATTTGGGAACTTCCCAGACTTGAAGCATCGGACAGGAAGATGTAACGAGTATTCAAAAAAATCGAACGAGCAGATCATTGAGTACAAAAGGGAACCGATTACCCGGCACATCTACTCCGTCATTGTCCTTGACCTTTACATCGTAACATGAAGTAGGTTTAATAAGTTTCTAAAATTGACAGAAATTATTTATTAACATTGATGGCAACCCAACATAAAAAGAAGTGACTTTCGTATCATCAGCTGCTTTTTTTATATGCCCCAGGAGCAAGATGATGCCCTGCCCAGCGCTGTTCGTTGCTTTAGAGCTTAACAGCATTATATATTCGTTTCTTTTTATTTGCCAATCTTCTCAATGTTACGATATACCATAGTGATTCAGGTGATGATGATACGGTGTGAAAGGGCACATGAGCAGTTATACTTGATGCTACCTATTCTGTAAATAAGCACCCGTTATTTTCCACTGAACGCTCCTCAAGGCATTGCATGTAGTCATCGAGAAAGAGGTTCAGATTACTATTGCTAACATCAAAGTCAGCCCTCGCATAACCATTACTTTTTTTAGTTTCCTTTGACTTATAGCATTTAGGAATATTTAATAAAAATGAAATAGAAAATGGTCACTAAGGTCAGGCATTTGCGTAAATGAAGAGATAAGTTCGGCGGATGATCTTAATATATGGTCCGCCAGAAAGGAGGTAGATATGGTAATACGCGGAGGTTGCGTTACCATTTGCCACAAATTGAAAACGAAACATATTTTAACCAATTCGCTGCACTCTGAAGAAAAATGGCGAGCAAAGTAGGCACATCAATTCAGTCTATGAAAGGCTAGATTAAATCAAGTAACAAAATTAGTGGTGCACTAGCAAATCAAACGATGACAGTGTTTATCGCATCATGAATCTTTGAGATAAAAGTTGCACTTGCAGCGGGAGGACGGTAACACGCCCCTAAATGTAGTTTTTTTTTTTTTTTTTTTTTTTTTAAGTGAAGACCGACCCATGGTACTTCAAATTCAGGAGCGATGTTGATGTGAAAGGAATGTGTATTATCTGCTACTGCAATCAACACACCGCCACCGTTCCTTTCCTTCCTGTCATGATGGTATAGATTAAAATGTTTCTGATAGGGTTAAATTTTTCTACAATGTATTTTACTCGACAACCAGGTCTCTTTAAGACTTACAATGTCCGCACTAGAGGAGTCCGCAATGAACGACAGTGCGCTTAGGCATTACGCTTCTAATATTAGTAAAAATAAAAAAAAAAATTATTCAGACCTGGTACTATATTGGTCCTAACACTATTCTCTGAACGTTATGAGGTATTTGAAGCTTGGTTGGAAATTCCGGCGTTATTAATATTTTAAGTATTAAGCTGAACAGCTGGTGCGTGGTTTGAGGTTCCTGTGTTAAGACCCAGTGACTTCGGATCGGGCCCATGAGAGTTAAATTCGCTAGCCGAGTCTTTGCTAGGCGAGTATGTGTAACATTTTTTTGCTAATAAGTAGTCTGTCAAAGCTTTAATTAAGTTGAGGTTTTGTAAACAGTAGAAGTCTCTGCTGAGCAAAACGCACCGACGGAATGCAGTCTTCTCTAACAAAAACATGCATTCCTTGATCTTGTAGGCTATCGAAAGCACAGACTCCTCAGCTTTATAGGAAAACAATCTCGCGACTATTGGGAGATTCTTTTGATGATTTTACATACCAAGGTGGTGTGCCCTTTCGATGGGTGACTCTAAGAGTTGAATTCATAATATCTCAAGACACACGTATTCGCCAGCGTTTTCCGATTGCGCCGAATTTTCTATCTCGGCATCGCGAAAGCCGAAAAAAGAGGAGACTAGACCCGCACTCTCTGCTCTCCGCGTCGTCACCGCGCGCTCTGAGCTCCGATATCTCAATTGCAGCGGACGCTATCTGTGGATCCGATACCAGACTTTTGGTGACGGCTACCGTTTTCATAGTTGGAAGTTCTTTTTCCAAATGATTAACGTGTGTTGCCAGATTATTCACCAATGTCTCAGTGTCGCGCTGATTTACTGTTAATTCATGAAACTTCTCGAAGGATATCTCTTTTGCCTGCCTGCAGAGTTTGGATGATATTAAAAAGAACGAAAACAAAAATACTTATTAAGTAGTTCTTCTTGCGTCTTGGTCGTGGGACCAGGGTTTGTTTCGACATCACCTCTGAGTAGTAATAGGATGCCGCATCTAGCACTTCGGAAATATGCAGCAAACCATACACAAGCAGTGCGTTGCAGTTCTAGACATTCAGAGTACACGTTGTTGGGTTTAAGAAAAGTAAATTCTGCTCCGCGCTATTCTCTGGCGAATATCGACTGTCTAGATAGTCCGCCATACCGAAACAAAAGAAAGAGAAGAGCGAAAAATCTCCGCGCTGGAGGAAAGAGCAGAGCGGGGCGTGCCTCTTTGCGATCACAGGACCATTAGTGACGCACCTCTGTCAGATCGGGTTGCGATGATGCCCCCGCTCTCGCTGTGAAGACTGACGTCGCTACCGGGTTGGTCTTCCGCCGCTGCTTTGCATGTGCCATTATTACACCAGTTTCTTCACGACTTAATTTTTCAAGACGTGGATCAGAATTCAGTTATATAAGTTCTACGAACTGCGATGATATACCTTGACCATAGGTATATCAAAATGTATACCATGGCTAGCGTATTAGAGCGCGCTAGTCAAGGTATACATTCTTATATACCTATGGTCAAGGTATATCATGGCTGTTTGTAGAAATTATATAAATAAACTCTGATCCACGTTTTGTCAATTTAAGTCGTGAATATACTGGGGTAATAATACTACCTGCAAAGCAGCGGCGGAAGACCAACCCGTTAGCGACGTCAGCCTTCACAGCGAGAGCGGGGCGTCATCGCAACCCGATCTGACAGAGAAAATCCCCCCCAGGGTGTAAGATAGACAGGTGGGGAAACGAGAGCCAAATGAGCGACCGGATTGTGTCCCCCTCGGGTTTCTCTTTTTCTGTGGCGCCATCTATGTGGAGCACCGCGAGCTCTCACTCTAGGTGGGCGACCGGCTAAACTGACGGAGATAATTTCTCGTGGATTTTCAATGGAAGACTGTCGTGCTCTCGGTTTGTTTTGCGCACTCTCCCAAAGAATTCTATGCAAATCCGATTCCGATTTGTTTCTGTTTTTTTCCTCTCACCGCAGCGCCATCTGTCGCAAGTCGGGGGTACCCGCAAGCAGACGAGTACACAATCCGGTCACGGCGCTGCGGTAGACTTCTATGGGCCGTTTCCCCACCTGTTTATCTTACACCCTGATCCCTCCTAACATTTAAAATTGTTAGGGTGGATTTTAGATTGTTTATTAGCGAAACTTCACTTTCCACTCTCTACTTGACGTCCGTCGCGGACATCTACGTTACCACGAAGGATGTTTCTTTATTTCAAGCGGCGTTTTTTAATTCTTCTGCCTCTAGTGAGACACCCTCCATATAACATTTCACTGGCTGATGAATTTACGAAATATAATCTACTATATTCGGTCACTTTATTACAAGGTAGGCAGGACAGTGAATCGTCTGCTCCCCCAAAACAAGGCTAATAGGCTGCACCTTAACATGCCTCTGCAGCAGCCATGATTAAATGAATGTGGTGAGTAGATATCTCATAGTGTCTTGCGTCTAAACTCACCCACAAAGAAGAGCGTAGATTGTAAGACCTGTTACTGCTATCATATAGGCAAACTTGAGTGATTTTTTGGTTACCTGGAACACAATGACATAGCGTAAGCATGGTAGATAAAAAGAAGAACAACAACATTGTTTTGATGCACGTGTTTGTGCTTTCTGGCAATATATGTCTAGAATTAATTCTGCGCATTATATATTTCTTACTCACATTCTACGCGAATCAATATAAACAAACCGAAGAAGCGGAAATCATTCATAACCTTTAATCAAAAGTATCCGTCGCACATCGAAGCTTAAGGCGTACATCTAGAGTGTGGAGCCACAGATGGCGTAATACAGAGCGTCTCTAGATCTCGGATGCCTTTCGGCGCAATGTTTTGAGTACTTAAGTTAGAGAAGGGTGGAAGAAAGACTTTCACAAGGATGAATTTTTATTTAAGGCGGGATTCGCTGTACCTAATTAAAACCATTCTGGCGACATTGGAGGGTTCACGTCCCACACGTGCGTTTGGATACATGTTTGTGTGATGCACTGCGATCTTGAATTATGTGCCCGATAACCTTTAGATATGTGTCTTCAATTTCACGATGCTCTCATTTTTGCTATACCTCGTCTCGCCCTACGATCGACTAAAGGCAAAAGCTACGAACCGCCAGTTACAATCACTGGCCACTTTAAAATTGTGTGGTATTTCGCATCGATGCACGTATCGGTGCCCGCGTCTCGGATCACTGATGAGGGGACGGGTGGACAGGGGTTCGAATCGAAGAGCACTGAGTGGCTCAACAATTTTACATTGCAAAGAAAGCCACGACATATAGGCTCTTTGCAGCGTCGAAGCTATAGAAATGATGCAGCATTTTTGAATTCGAGCATTATTCGTCCACCCCTAATCAATGTTAAGCGTGTCATTGTATAGCGTGGAACGTGAGTGGACCTGGCGGACCGTGGCTTTGGCCTTTAGTTCATCGTTGGATGAGACAAATTATAATAAGCGTAATCCCAGCAGTGACGTTGAAAAAAAAAAAGACGTCAGCGGTACGAGATTTGTTATATAGAGAAGTGAAGATACTTTGTACCGCAGCTGGGACGCTTCTTCGATTGGTGTGTTTACCGCTTTTCCCGTTTGTTCATTGCAAGGGCTCCCGATGTGGCAACAAAATGTCTCTCGGGAGACGCGTCGTGTCATGCTGTCGGGTGTCGCGATCCTGGTGTTGATCGCTGAAATGCTGGCAAAAAGGGCGAGTGGAAGCAAGTGTCGCTGTCGTCGCGGCGTTCTCTCCCGCGTCTGCTTTGTTTCCGTCAACTCTCCGCGGCAGTAGAGCAAGTTTCAGCAAAGCAGGCGTCTGCTACATTCATCACCGCTGCTATAACACCGCCAGGATCGAGGTCGGCGAATGCACGAAACTTGTATGACGTCATCAAGCGGAAATCGAGGGACTACTTTTCTGGATGCGGTAAACACACCAGTCGGAGACGCGCTGCAGCATCATAATACTAACGTCTGCTCCATCACTCTTTCTACTGGACTTCCGTGTCTTCAACTATCAGGCCGATCACGCATCGCCGCTCGTTCGTCCCATAATATTTCAGAAACTATGAGCTGTATCTAAATGAGAACCACAATAATATAAATTTAGGTAATAAAGTTTTTTTCTTCTTTTGATTACTCTGCAACTTTGAGCTCTGCAAATATAGATGATGTTAAAAGAACGCACGGCTGAGAGCCTACGGCGTGTGACAACGACTCTATTTAGTGTCTTTCGTGCCTCGTGACATGACGAGAATGCTTACCCGCTACGAGCAAATATTTCGTTATTAGAGAATACAAAAAAACGACATACCAGAATTTCGGCCAGAAAGCTCCCTGGCAGCATCAAGGCATTGAATACCGACAACGTGGTACCGAACAACCAAGTGTTGTTTCCTCTTAAGGCCGCCTGTCAACAAAATAATTTTTGGACAGATAAATATAATTCACTCGGTATTAAACCCTGATTAACTTATCACTTAGGCTTCGCTTCGCCAGTCGGTAGTGTTCTGCCGCTGCGCTAAACACTCACGGCCAGCGCAACACGATTCGTGTTTAGTATGTACTTGTTTCAGGGACAGAAATACTAAACAAGGCCATGTAAACAGGGGATTGAAGTCAGAAATCCCCACCTGTTCTAAAAAAAAGGAAGTGATTTCAAAGATGTAATTTGATACGCTATAAAAAGAGCACTCAATATAAGTAAATTTTTGCTTCTTGTTGATGTAGATGACTGTGCGAGACGTCAAGGAACGAGTGTAACGCGATAGATAGCAAGCAATGCGGAGCGCAAGCTTGTCTGGTTCTTGCACAGGGGTTGCGATGACGTCAGTACGCCGAGCTCCCATTGGCTCTGGTTGGAAGGATAGTGGGTAGACCCCAATGCTAGCTGCCTTCAGGTCTACCCACTATCTTTTGAATCGGAGCCAATCAGAGCTCGGCGTTCTGACGTCACCACAACCCCTGCGCAAGAAGCAGACGAACTTGGGCTCTGCATAGTCCCTGACAGTGTAAAAAAACGCAGAGCGCGGTGGGTCTCGAGTACTTTATTATCTCTCTGCAACCAATGAAGATGCGGCAGAAGAACAAATTACGATGCAAGAAATCTGGATGTAGTAAGATCCGCTCCAGGTTTTCTTTTTATGTGCCGGTGGCTATAATTGCTTATTTTTATAAAAATAATATTTTGATTATTGATCCTTGGTGCCACATTTCATTCAAAGATTTGTTATCCGTCATCAAAATAGGCATTTGCAGTTACCTTTTACAATGGAAACACTGCTTAGCATTAGTCGGTAGAGATTTAAGGCTATATGTTATAGGTCGTCCTACCGAAAGTAAACAGAGAATAAACCCGCCGTAAGCAACCAGTCCAAATTGATAGCGGAGCAAGACGCGCCCTCGCGGCAATGGACCTTTTTCAAGAAGCGTTCTGCTCACGCGCGAGCGCCCGACGCGAAGCGGCGGAAGTCGGCACGAAAAATCGAGGAAATTCGGAAGGAGGCTGTGGATCAGCGAGTAGAACACGTAATTGCAACATATATATAATTGTGTTACACAAAAAAAGAAAGTGGACGGTAAGAAAAACGCGACGTTTACGAGGACGCCACGGATGCCCCTCTGTAAAGCTAAGTTGGGCACGCGCCGCAGCTCAGAGAGCGAAGAAACTGGTAGCGTAGCTCCCATCATCGGATGGTATCACAGGTAGGTCACCTCCTCGATTTTTAGTTCGTGCATTCACCGCCTGGTGCCGTCGGTATGTGGAAAAGGTCCATTAGGTGACTCGGACTACTCGCCGTCCTTTCACGAACCGGCTGCTGGCTTTCTTCGGTGCGGGCATTGGATCTGTCTTATGTGGCTTGGTTTCAAGATGTTGATTTAAGTGAGTACCGCGAGGTGGACGTTACTTAGCTGCAAATATCGGAATAACAGGGGCCGAACTTGTACAAATCTATGATTTTATGTACCACGTTAAACGGTGTAAATGAAAAAAAAAGAGCGACTTTCACTTAATTAGCTTTTTTTCAAAAATCGGGTCACACTCGTGCCCCCTGACGTACGCTGGCCGATCCATAACATTATACTCCGAAGATTTGTTTCAAATTCAAAGTGTTATGTTTAAAGAAATATTATAATATTTTTTTTCAATGATGGCCACCGCATATACAGCCTGTCCCCCAAAACATTTACAAAGCAAAATGGCCCATAAAAATCATAAAAATTGAAGTACCACTCCTTACCTTTTCTCAGATATGCCTTTTTCTGGTTGAATTAACATATACAATTTTCAACTCCTCTACTCCCAAGATTACCAAAATAATAAATCAAAAACTGAATTTTCAATGGTGAAGCGGCAGCTGTCGGAGGGAGACCGAACGACGGCTATGCTGGCCCAGCTTATTCAAAGATGGCGCCACCGCTGCTCACACAAGTGCAGGTGAGCGCAGGCATCAGGGCGGGCGCTTGCAGTCACCAAAGCCGGCGAAAATACGTAAAAAAAAGTTAAAAAGTTTATTCTCTCTCTCTCATGAGACAAATCAAACAGCAAAAGCAGATGTAGAAAGCAAGTGATAATAAGGGTAAGTGATCTGTAAAAATCATTCAGCTTCTTTATTTATCACAATCTTTTGCTTCGACGCTCGCCGTTCTGAGAACGCGAGCTAATAACTGAATTATCAGCTTGCATTTTCGTGGATATCCGAAAAACGAACTGAAATGCGCGCTTGAAAGAGAGTTCTGTGCGAGGTTTGTCACCCTGCGCCCACTCCGTGGCTTGCCGACATGGGTCCCCATCTCTGAATAAGCTGGGCAAACATGGCCGTTGTTCGAACTCCTTCCAACAGCGGCCGCTCCTCCAGTGGAAAATTAGTTCTTGAATTATCATAATAGTTCTATTTGGAGTAGATAATTGTAGTTCTAGTTTGTTAATTGGGCGACTAGCAGTCGGCTTTGAAAAAAGTTACAGCTTGATACGCCAGTCGCTGAAGTTTACGGGCCATTTTGGTGCGTAAACATTTTTTTGGGACGCGCTGCACTTCCCGTGAATTTATGAAGTTAGAATTTCGACCTCGCTTTGTGTACACTTACGAGAGCTGGAAAAAAAGGGGCAAGTAGAGAGGTGATCGCTGCGACCCAAAATGTCTGATAGACGTAAGGCAGGCCCCAGACTGAGCCCCTTAGCTTCTCGCAGACAGACGATCGCTTGGGAGACTTTTCCGCCTCTTCCGGACTGTTCTGCGGCCTATCTTCGGAGTGTTCGGGAACTGAGTTGTTCTCCCGATGATGTGAAAACTCTGCCGACCCATAGTTGAATCTCGACCGTGACCCATCGGACACCTTCGGCAGGAGAGGGGTTGACATAGTATCTCCTAAAAAAAAAAAAAAAAAGAAAACGGTGGCGAATTTAGTCATTTTAGGCAGGGCTGAGCTTTTGTGCCAAAGGACTCTTCTGTTGAAAAAGATAAAAGAAAACGTTCGGCATTATATTTACTGACAGTTTAGGAAACTCAGGACGTGGCAAATCCCGTGCCTCGTATTACCACTCCGCAGCCAATAAAGGGTGACATTTGCCTACCAGAAAGCTGAAGAACCAATCGCGGAGCAACAAGCATGAAGGTAACAAGCCACACCCTGCGTTACTCATACTGTCAGCGACTATGCCAAGCGTACCGCACTGGAAAAATGATCCGTCCGCAGGGGAGCCACCCGGCGCCACTTCAAGACAAGCTTATTTCCCTATTTCTAAGCATTCATACGACACATTTAAGAGCCCTCTCTCTGGACCATTTCTTGATTCAGTGGAACCGTGGTTCGTGCGGAAAGGTTGCCTGATTATGCAAGAATACATTAAATAAACGTTTCTTTTTACCTACATATGTTGAGAAATTTACATCTGTTCGCGATTTCTAAAGCTTCGCTTTCTAAACTATCAACAGATCTCCAGCTGGTAATCAGGAATTGTTCTAAGACCTATTCTTTTAACCGTCGTCCTTTCACAGTGTCAAAATAAAAAGAAGAAAAAAGTAAAAAAAGGACTGCGAGTTTATTTTCCTGAAGAACAGGAAGACAACCAAACCACCGCGAACAATAGAAATATCCTAACGAATAACAAATCTTATAAACGATATTAAAAATGCTATGTGCGCTGGAATAATCAGTACGATGTTTCACTTGCTCATGGTCCTTGTACATATCGTATTGCTCAGACCTAAGCCTATTTTGAGCTTGGTCATTCACAGGGATCGTTCTATTGTTCTGCAAAAAAATAAACTCACAATCTTTTTTTTTTTTTAAGTATAAGTCACCGACATTTATGATACGTAATATGTTGAGGAAAACCGACCTTGTTAGCATAACACACTGTGCTGTTATTGATGCGCGTACTCATGGCTTCTTGTTATGGATAAGCATAACTATTTATGAAGGACCGGTGGTATCAGTATAATTATACGAATGACCCTTTTCAGAGTGCTACTCACCGATTATGTTTCCTCTCGAATATCTAACTCGCAATATTTTTCCGCAACCGTGCCCAAGCGCAGCATATGACGACACAACATCAAGCCGTGTTCGTTTTCAAGGAGGATTGCGCGTTGCCAGCTCAGCACCTGTTTCGCTAACTATATACTCACATTGGCGGTTGCTCAGGGGGGCTCATTTTTTGTTGTCGTTGTTTTGTGTCTAATGTAACGTTGCTATGCGTCATTCCGAAGCTGCGCACTGGTGCGTTTCCCGCTCGGAGTAGAACAGGAGCACTCTAATGATGATTTCGTCGGCGGCCTTGTCTTCTGGTTTGGCGTGCGTACTGCATGCTATAGAGGTAGAGGTACGAACGATGACGCATGCTTGTAGAACGCAGCCTGTGAATAAGATTGCTGTCGATGTCTGCGGCTTGGCACGGGGTGGCGCGACTCTTCTACCCATACTCGCAAAAATAATCGCACCGTAGATACTGATCTCTGGTCTGGTTGACGTACTGCCTAGCGATTTCAAGAGTTCGCGCCACCGCGAAGTAACCCTACGCGCGAAGGTTTAAGATAATGCAGCGGAAGATCCCCAGGGAGACTGTACAGGGAGACTTCACAAGAGCACCAGACTGCGAGGATTGTTCCTCGTCTTCGGCCCTATCTTAACGAAATACAAAGTTAGTGTTCTTAGCAACCGTTTCAGACCAGTTTAACTCGGAGTTTGGAACAAACCCAGATGCTATAGGGTGTTCTATCGTCGCTGACAGCTTAATGCACACGGTGCGGGACTGGTCTGCGTTGTGATATCAGCCGATAGAACACCGAAGAATGAATCCTAAAGCTAAATACGTGAACATAGTCGCACATAAACACACGACGTGAACATAAGGTCAGGCCCTGCGCTTCTTAAACTGTCAAAGTATAACACCACATTTCTTTTTTTGATACCGGGGCTTTATTGTTTCCGGCACGCTATGAAGTACCTCTACATTCTGCACCTGCCATGGCCCACATCTCTAAGCCACAATTTCTTTAAAAAAAATGCAAGCGATTGATAAAAACGGCAAATAAATAAAAGGCCAAAACCAGTATCGAAATTTCCCCACACATTCCGGTGTCGGGACCTGTCAACTTGTTGGAAAATTTGCAGGTCGAACAGGCAGCCGAAAAAGGAGACAATATAGTCGGTGAGAGTTAAGAGTTCAAGGAAAGCTTCTCCCATCGTTTTTCACTTGCTAAGGGAGAAGGAGGTGGGTGGAACTTCTCCAGAACTCTTAACCTGTGATCGACTGTTATCCCACTTAAGGCGCGTTCATACTTGCGAGTCGCAGCGGTCGCGTGAGAACTTTGATGCCACCGAGTGACGGTTGCAACTGCGACCTCTTCGGAGTGTGGCTCTCACACCTATTTTTTGAATTGGTCACTCACTTGCGGAATGGCTGAGGCAATCAGCGGCACCTCAGAGGTGACGTCTGGCGTGTCAAGTTCGTTTACATTCGTCATTGCCGCATTTCTGCGGGAGATACAGCCAACATGTCCACCGATCGCCCCGGTTCGCGGTAGCGGCCATGAAGGTCTCCGCGGTGGCTTGGATCAATGCAATTAAAAAGATAACTGCCCAGTTTTTAAAATATTTATTAGCGCACCGATTTCAATGAATTTCCGAAAAGAACTCAGCCTGGCACGAAATTTGTTCCACTTTTGGCTTTACAGGTGCACTTCGCGACAAAGCTATAGTGCGAACACGACTTTTGTGCCTTTTTGCATTTTACTTCGAAAGCTCACTTGCGGGCATCCCAACTTACAGCTTAGTCTAGTACCCCAAATGAGCACTTTCCACCGCTATAGTAGTTTTGATGACAGTCCTAGATACTGAGAGAACAGAGAAAACCTGCGACGGCTTGTTTGCGCTAACAGTGTTGCGGAGTGTACGCAACATATCACGGATGTTCGAGTGATCGCACGTCGATGTAGCGATTGTGATTTTATTGTATTGTTCCGAAAGACCCAGTTCAATACTACGAGTTTTCCTCTTACGGCTATAGCAACAGATGCGTAACTGTGCAAAAAAAAAACAAAAAAAGAAACGAGAAAGCATCAAAATGCGAACCCTTACTAACGCGGAGAGAACGGAATCGACGGCGGCTCCCGAGAGGTTTGCCTTTGGAGACACGACTTAGCGCTGTTGGCGGTCGCGAGCTATATGGACATGGGTTGTCGCTCGTCGGTTGTTGCATGTTGCTATCGCTGCTAGACCTCGGGCGACTGCTACGAGTGGAAAGTGTGAAGTAGCCTCCTTTTTTTGAGTCACAGGTGTGAATGATGCTTTATTGTTTCGTGCTGTTGAGCCAGTGATGGAATGAAATTTTACATACTTCATTTCACATCGGAGAGCTTTTTGTAATCCCATAAGAACAAGTTATACCGCACAAAGAGCGAACCTGTACCCAAAGGTTTTCGTCACTTTTTTTGTGTTGACCGCAGAGATTTTTGGTTAGGAAAACCGGGAAGATTACAGGTGCCTTATGTGGATTTTGCTTAAGATAATGACATCAGACTAGTCTAGAAGAGGTGTTGTCGTTTATGTTTTGCTCAAGAATGGGTGAAAGGGGTCACCCGGCATGAAGTCTTCGCATTACGCAGTTTTAGCTTGGCGTTTCTGCGAGCTCCTGGCCACTCTTCGGCTCCTGTATAACTTTGTATTTTTCCACTGAGCGCGTGCAGTCAGATTTTATCGATGATTCCCCAACACGTATACAGGCTTCCATAGATGTATCTATAGGAAGCCAGAGCCGTATATAGGCAGAGTTTTGTCAATGCGAGGGGCGGGTAGAGCCAGAGCGCGCACGAGACGCAGATAGAGGGCTGATATGCTCTCTTGGCCAACCAGAAGCCGAAAATAATTAGCTAGCGGTGATAGCGAGAAACAGTTTTAATACGTGCGTAAGAGTTAATTATAGTAACTGCTCATGGTTGAAAATATGATACACGTGATATTTCGATTATGCTCATGCAAAAACTTTTAAAAAACGAATGGGCCGCTCGAACTCGGTTTTGATCGGAAAGAGTCTGACCGGTCGTACGACAAATTCTCGGCCCTCGGCGCCTGGCTTACGAATTACGTCGATCTTGCTGCTAGTCGCGCAAGCTTTTTATATCTTTTATATTTATATATATATCTTCCACCGTGATTTTGCACGACTCTGATGGAAGCATCACCTGCACCTTGTTTTCAGTCACCGAGGGTTACTCCGACGCACTTATTATTTTGTTTCCCGCGAAGAATAATACCCGCCAGGGTATTATTCACGTCTTCTGGTTGGCCACATTCGAATTTGTGAAGACGCTTTGGAAAGTGCCTAGCCGGCTTTCGGCCAATGGTGCCTCCTCATTCGCCTCCTGTACTTCCCAATGAATGGCCAAACACTCTATATATACGGCTCTGCTGGACGCGGCGACCAGACCCGTCGATACTGGGAGAGTATGGCATTATTTTGAACCTGCCGACAGTCTAGAAACCATGACCAGATATCCGGCAACCAAGAGTTTCCCCAGCCATACTGAATCACGAACCACACTGGAGCAGCCACCCCATGTCTTCAGTGTCGTGTCATTGCACTGAAAGGGTCTCTCGTTAACGTAAGCGCCTTTGGCTCTTTCCACGCACTCAATGCGAAGGGCAAGTTCGTCTGCTTCTTGCGCAGGGGGTAGCGGTGACGTCAGAACGCCGAGCCCTGATTGGCTGATCGCGACCCCCTATCTGAGCGTCGTCTGCTCTTTTGCAACGTCGTCTGCTCGCAGCGTCGTCTGCGTCTGCCGTACCTTTCCTGCGACTTTCGGAAGTGCAGAGGCCAGATTCACGAAACGATCTTACGCCAGAAATGTGCGTAAGACAAAA